CTCTAATCAAGATAATTAAATAAATTTAATTACCTCAAATTAAAGCCAATAAATATAATTAATTTACTTTAATTAAAATTAATTAATTTTGTTAATCACACATTAAAACTAATTATCCTAATCAATTAATCATAAACTAATTATCCTAATCAATTAATCATATAAGCTAAAATAAAAATAAAACTAAAATTCTATTAAAAATTTGAGTTATGACAACTGTCACAAACGTGGATAGGGTCCATGCAACTAAAGTAATTAGTAGATTAGGTTAAAGGATTGCTTTAAAAGGATCATCTGCTTTGGGTCCATGTAGCTAAAGTTCTTAGCAAACATAGTAACTTACATCTATTGAGATAGTTCTCATTAAAAGAGTTTTCTTTGGCCCATCCTAAGATGGATCAAACAACACACCCTGCAACGCGGGGCATCTTTTAACAAGACTTAATCTCTCATATTAAATAGATTGTCACAAACGTGGATAGGGTCCATGTAACTGAAGTAGTTAGTAGATCAGGTTAAAAGACTACTTTAAAAAGATCATCTGCTTTGGGTCCATGCAGCTAAAGTTCTTAGCAAACATAGTAACTTACATATATTGAGATAGTTCTCATTAAAAGAGTTTTCTTTGGCCCATCTTAAGATGGATCAAATAACACACCTTGCAACATGGGGCGTCATCTCTAGTAAATCTAAAATTAATAAATAGGAATACTAGCTGGAAGGCAGTATATCCTCATGTATGACTAAAAAAGAAAAAATGCCAAGAAAATCAATGGTTAGAACCATTGCTATCTTGCCTGAACATGGTAAGCAAATCAAAAAACACAAGTAATTTAGTGAGTAATGAACAAGAACACCAATCTCATCAACTCCTAAAGAACATATTGGATTAAATATATTTGAGTCACTAATTTCTCTAAACTTTTCCCGGCCATGACTTCACCATCAGAAGTGTTTCATAGGGCTGAAATTTCTTTGTCATTGTATTTAAACTCCACGAGATATTATTTTCATCATCAAGCTCCGATAAGCAGTGAATCCAGAAAAGGAAAAAAAAAAAGGGGTTAAATCTAAAATCAAAGAAGCTATTATATGTAATTGATCTTACCATCCCCAAACTTACTTCCTTCCATATCCATCAGTTCAATCGCAAGACTGAAACCAGATCTTCTTCTTCCTTCCTCGTTAACGATTGAACACAAAGAAAGTAAACAATAAGTGTTCTTATTCTTTTTTATGAAAAAAATTTTCACATAATAAATATTATTTTCAACCAACTTATTCTTGAATCTAAGAGTATTAAAAATTTAAATTATAGCAGAAATAAACTTTTTTGTAAACAAATAATTATTATTAATAGAAATCGTTAAATACATAAAAAACCACATGTAATAACTAATAAAACTACATTTTCATTCGCCAAAACTATTTTAGGAGTAAGATAGTCCTTGTCACGTTTTAAATTAAAAACATTCCACAATCTATACATTCACACTTTAATCTTTCACTTCTGTTTATTGAGTTAAAGTTGATCAAGAAATACATATTCCATATCTATTGCAATTGATTTACTTTTATATAACAAAGTACTTTAAAATTAGAGACAAAATGTAACACAATTAGAGAAAAAAGAAATTGATGATTAAAATCAAAAACCTATTCATATTAAGAAAATGCAATCCAAGCGACTATACCCTATAATCAAAATTTGAATTTAGAAAAATCTCTGAAACAAAACAATAGTGAAAAACTTTCTCATAAATATAGAGACTTTAAATAGTAGATACTTGACCCTTCAAGTTCTAACTTCCATTAGTTTTCTTTTTCATTTTTGACTATTTAAATAGTATTGCTTCTTCATCTACCAAAAGATGAACAGTCTTAAATATTACTAATTAATTACTAATTAATATGTTGAAAAAAAAATGATCTTGCCTCTTCATATACCAAAGAATAAACCAATGTTTTCAATATTAATATTAATAATTAATAATTAATATATCATTCATTTAAATTATTTTCAATTACCAAGGCAAATACTCATTAGTAGTTCTTCATTTTATGGTTGAACGTTTATAACTATCATATTATTAATTTTTTATTAATAAAGTTATTGCTTTCTTTACGTGAAGTTATTATAACAATTATAACAATTATAACAATTATAACAATCATAGTTTGATTGAGAATCACATAACTTTTGAGGGAAGAAAATGAAAAGTCTATTCATGAATAAATTGTATATAATAATTATATAATAAATAATAAATAAATTTATATTATCTATCTATCTATCTATCTATCTATTCTATTTATATATATAATGCTACCCTATGCATTAAATAGGGTATGCATTTAACTAATTCAAAAAAAAAAAAGTGCATGAAATTTAAAAAAAAAAGAAGGAAAATTGCAAATGATAATGAAAGTGGTAGATGAAGAGGCAAATGAATGAAAATTGTAAATGATAATAATAAAAAAAAAAAATGAAAGTAGCCTTCTCAAACGACCACTACAAAATCCATATTTATATCTATATATTATATAAAATGCTACCCTATGCATCTAATAGGGTATGCATTCATAAAAAATTAAAAAAAGAAAAGAAAATTGTAAATGATAATGAAAGAGGTAGATGAAAAGGCAAATGAATGAAAATTATAAATGATAAAAATAGTTGATGAATGATTGTGGTACATGAAAAGGCAAAGTTAATTTAACGGAAAAAAGTAGAAGTCTAAATCTATCTACATCTTTGTATATATAAAGGACCCATGCATTAATTGAGATCTAAATATAAATATATTATATATATATTTAATAGGGTATGCAAATAAATTAACACTACTTTACAAAACATAATAATCTATATATTATATAAAATGCTACCCTATACATTTAGTAGGGTATGCATTTAACTAAGTCAAAAAAGAAATTAAAAAAGGAAAATTGTAAATGATAATGAAAGTGATAGATGAAGAGGCAAATGAATGAAAATTATAAAGGATAAAAATAGTTGACAAATGATTGTAGTAGATGAAGAGGCAAAGTTAATTTAACGGAAAAATGTAGAAGTCTAAATCTATCTGCACCTATATCTCTCCCTGTATATATAAAAAGCACCCATGCATTAATTGAGATCTAAATATAAATATATATTTTTTTACCTATTTTCCATTTAATTTATGTTAAATGCAATCCCTCCCTTATTAATTTGTGTTAAATGCATTAATCTAAATTTTATCATCTATTTTACCAATTATAGAAGAAATAAGAAAAATGTGTGTGGATAAACAACAATATGGCCAACAAACGCAAATAAATTAACACTACCTTACAAAACATCATAAATAGATGATATACCTAAATATCTAAATATAAAAACAAATGAATGATAACATGCTACCCATGCGTTAATTGAGATCTAAACATAAATATATATATATTATCTATTTTTCCTTTTAATTTGTGTTAAATGCATTAATGTAACTTTTATCATCTATTTTACCATTATTATATTGTATTTGAAAAGTATGATGTTTTGTTTTCCATCTTACATTTGTAGATTGCTTTTAGTTGAAATCTTTTCACTTCTTTATTTATTACTTTGGTTTCTTTCACATTTTAAATTTATTTACTTTCAAAGAGAAAGTTAAAAGGGCACATTTGATCTTATACACTTACTATAATCAAATATTCTTTTTAATCATTTTTCAAAAGGACAACGATTGATATACATTCGATTCAATATACTGCGCAACATATTCATTAAAAAATTATTATTTTTTAATTTGAAGTTAAAGGTAAATAAATTTAAAGATATAATCATGCATACAAAATGTAAAAATTAATTGAATTGACTAATTTATATTATATTTTTAATGATTAAATCGAAAGTGTGCCAAAAAATATATTGAACTGAGTATGTACCAATCATTTTTCTTCTAAAAACTATTCTCTTTAATCAAGAAAAAAAAAACTTACCCATGATTATTTCACTTAATAATTTGCGTTTAATGCATTAATCTAAGCTTTTATCTTCTATTTTACCTTTATTATATTGTATTTGAAAAGCATAATGTTTTATTTTCCATCTTAAATTTCATTGCCATAAAAACCCATTCTTAAGAGGAACAATTAAAGCCATGCGGTAAATATCCTCTATTTACCCAAAAAAAAAAAAAAAAAACAAAAAAACCAGAATTTTTGGGTCCATAACATTGTAATCATGGTTGTCAAAATCACGTTTTAAATCATAAAATCATACGACTTTAAGATTTTGGGTATGTATTTCGAGTAAAATTTATATTAAAATCACATTTCCATAAAATCGTAAAATCGTGATTTTACGGTAAACTCGTTTGAAATCTCGATTTTACTTTCACAAAAATTGAAGAAGAGGCTTCTAGAAATTCAAACATAAATTTGATCTTTGATCTTCTTTGCTTTAGGTTTGCCGTAGGGGAAGGAAAGATTGGACTACTGCGGTGCATTGTTGTTGCTCACTGCTCATTGCTTAGGCATTTGCGGGCAAGATAGAAATCTATTTGGTGATCCAAATCATCTGAAACTAGCCTTACACAGTAGGAGTTGGTTGCTGTTGTTCATTGCTCAAGCAAAGAAGGATAAAATCTATTGCAAAAAGAGGAGTAGATAAGGAGAAAAGGAGCTTGATTGAAGCAAAAATGGTAGAAAATAGGGACAATGACAGTGGAGAAACCAAGGAAGGTGAAAGAATGGAGGGGTATTCTTTTAATGGTGCTTATGTTAACACATCATATGGATTGGGTGTTTGTTATATATATATATATTTTTTTTTTTGGGGGTAAAAAAAGTATAAAAAGTGAATGCTTTTTAATTTAAACAATAATTTTTTT